AAAAAAAAAAATTAAAATACCAAAAAGCAGGTGCAAAAATGGCATCAGTAATCAGTGTTACTTAATTTTCTCTCTGAAGATAACCAACTCAGCTGCTGATTGCAAAAGAATTCATATGTTTTGTGTTTTAATAGGCTCAGCAAGTACTGTCTGAATGCTAGCACATTTGTGATTTTTTTAGTGAAAGCAATGGGAGGATTGAGTGCCTTTTTACAAGTAGGGGATCTCACTTGTGAAATTCTGGTGTCTGAAAATCTTACGTGTTTAAAGAGTCAAACTTTTATGAGCCCAGCTCCATAGCTACAAGGAGTAAGCAGTAAATATTGCACACTACATGGTGATATTATTAGTACTCTTCATTGTGAGAACTTTTATACCATTACCATGCTTTGCATGACTTTGTAATTGTAAACATCAATCAGGAAGAGAGGAATGGCAATTTTTTTAGTCAGAGACTGTTTCTTTGTCTTTAGTAATAGCAAACAGCATTAAAGTAATGGGCTGCTCTAGGATATTTTCCATTGTAAAAATTCCCTCTAGCATCAGCAGTTAGTGTTGTATTGTGAAGTTTTACCTCCTTTTATTAAACAAAAGCCTGTAAACCTCCTATAAGATTTTTTTTTTATGATTAGAAGTTTTAACAAAATTTATTTTCAGTATAATAATCTAAATTTTAATTGTAGTGTGCACACCACAAACCCCTCAGCCTCATTTAACTATGTAGTGAAAGCAAGAGAGCTCTCTTTTGGTGTTTTGACCCTCAGTTCTATCAAACACTCTTTTGAAATAGAAGAGGAAATTAGGATCACTTAGGACCTCTATCAATCTGGTTTTGTTGTTGTTTTTGTTTGTTTTACTTGACAAATCTCAGCTTTAAATCCATCTTTAAAAGGACTTCTCTTGCTTTCTGGTGAGCTTTTGCTTTTTATATTCTGGTTTTTATCTCTTCTGAGAATTACTTTCTAGAAACCAACTGATTATTCTGGAGGATAGGAAGTATCTATCTTATTTGTCTCCTATTTCTTACACATCTGTATAGTCTTCTTGTTGAGGTCAGGATGTATGTGAACACTTGTGGAACATGTCACTTAGATGCAGAAATGCTTTGGAAATTTGCATCTTTTGGAAGTGCTGACAATTGAGTTTCTTGCATTTTCAGGAGTAAATAAGGAAAAAAATCTTGCACATGAAACCTCAGCTGACTTGCTTTGGCAGTGCTATCTGTTGCCAGCAGCATAACTTGGACATCCACTGTGTTTGCAGAAGATAAGATCCCCTGTCCAGCCTTGGCTGTGTATGTGTAAGAGATACAAATTTTGTATGAACATGCAAATTATTCCTACAGAGCTACTGATTTAAACTGCGTATTCTCTAGGATTTCATGGATCACCAAACTAGCTTGTGAGGTGTAGAATGGTTTGCTTTACGGTAGACAAGGAAGAAACTGTGTCTTGGTGTGTTCAGGTTAGATCTTGCCATTGTTGTCTCCATAATTTTATTGGTTTAAAGGATCATAGGTTATTTAATGTAGGCTGTTCATCCTCTGTCAGAGAGACCTCAGGGGGATCATATTTAATCCTTATTTGTAGGAAGATTTCGGAAGATGCCCCCTCAGAGTATTAACTTGTCATACTGGAAACTGATGCTCATGTTGAGGTTCCTTATTTGGAACTAGCTAAGTCCTGTTTATATATTTTACTTTTTTTATTTAAGGTGAGAAAACTGGAAACCCTGAACTCATCCACCTTTTCAAATGGCTGTCTACTGCCAAAAGCCTTTGATGTCATCAGGACTTTTCTCTGTGTTGACATGCTCCAAGGACACTTTTAGAATAATTTTTTACACTTTTGTTTTATTTTTTTCCTCCTTAAAGCTAGCTGTGACCATCTTTCTTTGTGAGCTTCAGAGTACTGGAATTTTACTGGGAGTTAGCTTTTCATCTGGCATTGATGATGCCATTGAAAAGTAAAAGCTCAACCTGAGGTTAAACCAGTGCATCTTTTTGAAATCTTTAGCAGACTTGACAAAAATGCATATTCTGCCTTATGTGATGTCTGTTCTTGAGTTCAAACTTTGCATTTATTTGTAATTGTACTTTTGGGCCATTATCTCTTTGCTGGTGCAAAACAACTGCACAACTGTGCTGGTCACAGAAAAAAGAGGAATTACGTTTCTCTGTGAAAAGGAGACAAACGAGGAAGAGTTATTATCTCTGTCCTACTTTTTAAATATCCATCATACAACTAAGAGGCAAATAATAGTGCTGTTGTATATTATTCCTAGAACTTTATAATCAGTGAAGTGTGACTGTTTTAGTAAGATGTTTGTGAAACATTTAGGTTTCATAGCTGGCACATTTTATACTAGTAAAAATGCTTGAATTT